TATTAGTGTGTGACTTTTCTAAAAGCCCGTTTCGCCAAAACCCCGGTTTGCCCCCGATAAATTTTCGCCCAACTGAGACCAACGATGGCTCAGCCCAGTCTTTTTGGTTTCCATTTCTGGTTGTTCCTGGGCCCATGTGGTTCGAGGGGATTCACTTTAAAATGTTTCTGTCCTCTCTCACCAAGGAGCTCAAGTGGCTGTGTCCTGCCCTGGTTGCCAGGAACAACCAAAGCCTGCCCAGTGAAGCACACATATACGACGGCCACACACATAGCTCGCTACAGAGGATGACAAGGTAAAAAAAATTAATATGCTAGTGCTAGTTACGCTGGCTAGCTTAAAAGATAATTAGGCAAGGTGGCTAACAACAAACCAATTTATAAGCTGAATGATTTTAATATTAACACACAATGAAGTGCAATGCACCTTAATAATCAATTTTACCCTGCTATGAGCCTGTTGCCTTAATGTACATTAGCACTCCCCTTCAGGAGCATAATACAATTAAAACACATTAACCACCAAAAGCTAGCCGCTTAGGCTAATGGATTAGCGCATTAGATCACGCTAGCTTTGGTTACTGTGTTATGTGTGCTTAACTCTAAACACTAGCTAAAAGAGAAATGACATGGTATTAATATATGGGCGCAAGAAGGCCAGGCACAACTCCAAAATTTCTTAGGAATTTTCTAGTTGGTTATTAGTTTTCCTCTTACATTTATGTTGTGCTCCTTCCCAGGGGGCATAACAAACGTCCTCCCAAAGATCCTTGTAGTCTTATCCAAATTTCCTCCCCTGGCATAGTTCTAGTCCGACTTTTGATGCTCCTTGTGGTCAAGAAGCGGAGCGCATCTTGGAGTCCTGACCAATGAAGTGCCTTGTTTATCAGTGCACGTCTTACAGTTGCCCACTGAGCAACTTATATCCGAGACCTTCATCAGGTCATCGGAAAAGTCTCCTGCAAAGACAAAGTGCTACCATTTGCCACTTTTTAGCTCCAGTCGCCACCCGCACAAAGTCACTCACTATTGGCAGACAGATGCCTTGTTTTGAATGCTACTAAATTGGTCACCAACTCAAGTTTAATGGGACACAGAGTCCCAGGTGTCAAATTATGATGAAAAATGAAAGAGGTGAATACTTACCAGTTTAAGACTGAGAGATTTCAGAAATCCTGGACTGCACCCTAATGATCCTGACATTGACTGCAGCAAAAATGGAACTGAAATGCTTACCTGGGATGGATTGAGACACAACCTTCCAGGCTCACCTCAGAAATGGACCAAACAAAAGAACTACTCATTCCAGTGCTTGTATGAAAGGCTGTCACTGTCCCATCCCATCATAGGTTTTAAATGTCATTCGGCCAATCTGGCAAAGACTGATAAGACCAAAACCAGTACAGTGCCGTGAGAAAAGCTTTTCCAAGTCTCAAAAGAAAAATAAAAGTTGAAAAGCTTTTATAACAGGCTGTTAGTGCAGAACAGGTAAGATGAGTATGCAGTGAAAACAAAAGAAAGAGATGATTTGCAGTACCAAAGCACAGTAGAGCATTTAGATTGAGTGTCGTGTAGCTGCCAGCCTTTTAAAGATGACATGACCATGCTGTTTCAGCCAGATCTGAACCGCCCCAGTGGCCAGAGGGTCTCCGAGTTCTTATTGACTACACTAGTCAGAGTCAAGAAATGGTCTTTTCCAGTCATCTCACAGATTGATGTTGCTAACCCAGCTGAAATGAATTAGTTTTTGCCATGTTTTGCCAGGACGCACAATAATTGGTACAGTACAAACCATTATGACTGTGTTACCTGCCCAGATTTTTGAAAAAACTTCAACCTCAGCTACAGTGAACCACACCAGCATCCACACCCCGTGTAATGCTAGTGAACAGTGGGATCCACCTGTAGATGTAAGTCACTTGAACGAAGAGCAGAGACAGGAAGTTAAACAGATGCTTAGAGAAGAGTGTCATTCCTTCTCAAGATCAGACAATGATATTGGCTGTATTGAAAGACTGCGAATGACCATCTCTCTTAAAGATCCAGAACCAGTCAAACGCACATACCTGTCAGTACCTAAGCCACTGTACCAGGAAATGAAAGGTTACCTCCACGACCTAATAGCACAGGGCTGGGTCAGGAAGTCAAACTCGTCATATTCTTCACCTGTTGTGTGTGTGAGGAAAAAGGATGGCACCCTTCGCGTGTGTATCGATTACAGAGACCTGAACAGGAAGACTCATCCTGACCGCCAGCCCATCCCTCGGGTCCAAGACATCATGGACAGTCTGGGTGGTAATTCCTGGTTCTCTCTCCTGGACCAGGGGAAGGCTTACCACCAGGGAGAAGAAAGCAGAACAAATGACAGGCTTTTGCTTACGCGCCATGGGGACTTTATGGGAGTGGATTACGTGCGGATGCCCCCTTTCGGCCCCCATAGAACCCCCCTGGCATGCTTTCTCCCAACGTTTGTATGGAGGAATGTTTGGAAGGGCTCCGGGATGACATCCTGTATTCCCTTATCTGGGACGACACACTGGTTTTCAGCAAAATCTTTGACAAACATGTGGATGATGTGCGAAAAGTGTTGAAACGTCTCAGAGAGTATGGCATCAAACTCAAACCAAGTAAGTGTGCCCTCTTTAAACCTGAAGTCCGTTATTTGGGCAGAATAGTCTCTGCAGAGGGCAGCAGAGTCGACCCAGCCGATTTTGAAGCAGTTAGGGCCTTGAAAGACATCAGACCACAGAATGTGGGCCAGCTCAGAAAAATGCTTGGTCTACTTACCTACTACAGGCAGTATATAAAAGACTTCTCCAGAAAGGCCAGCTGCCTGTACGGCCTCCTGAAGGCAGATTCAAATGAGGTTCCTGAAAACACAAGAAAACCAAAAACAAAGAAAATTAGTCATGTTGTGCCCTCAAACAAGACAATCAAATGGACTGACCAGCACCAACATGCACTTGAACAGCTGATTGACTGTTTGCTCCATCCTCCAGTGTTAGGGTTCCCTGATTTCACTCAGCCATTCATAGTACACACTGATGCGTCACATCAAGGCTTGGGAGCAGTACTGTATCAGAAACAAGATGGCAAACTGAGAGTCATTGCCTATGGCTCCCGCTCGTTGACAACAGCTGAGAAGAATTACCACTACCATGCAGGCAAGTTAGAGTTTCTTGCTTTAAAATGGGCAGTCACTGACAAGTTCCGGGATTATTTATACTATGCTCCGACCTTCACTGTGTATAGTGATAATAACCCACTCACCTATATCCTGTCTACTGCAAAAGTGAACGCAACCACTTCCAGGTGGGTTGCAGAATTGGCTGATTTTCACTTTACAATAAAGTACAGACCAGGGAAAGAGAACAGTGATGCCGATGCTTTGTCAAGGATGCCGCTGGATGCAGAGTCACTAATGAGAGAATGTTCTCAGGAACTGCCACCTGACGCTATCGCTGCCACAATCCAAGCAGTTGAGGTTCAAGAAACAACCCTGCCGTTTTCAGCAGTATGTATGCCAGTCTCTGCCGAAAGTGAGGTAACCACTGCATCAGTCAGTCCCATACCAAAAGATGAGCTAAAAGACGCACAAAGATCTGACCCATGCATCCGTCCCGTGCTAGAGAGTAAATTGTCAGGCTCCAAACCGCTAGCTAGAGAGCTAAAGACATTCAGCCTAACGACAAAATGCCTGTTCAGAGAATGGGAAAAGCTGACAGTAGACAGTGATGGTATTATGTACAGGAAAACCAAAGCCCACAAACAGTTGGTTCTACCAGAACAGTACAAAGGAAAAGTGCTGGAGGAGCTGCACAATAACATGGGACACCAAGGTACTGACCGCACAGTATCTCTAGTACGTGAACGCTTCTTCTGGCCCTATATGCAGTCTGACATTGAGCACTATGTTACTAAAGCTTGCACCTGTCTCAAGCAGAAAAAGCCATGCCATGAAGTGAGAGCCCCCTTGACAAACATTGTGACAACACAGCCATTTGAATTAGTATGTATTGACTTTCTCCATCTCGACCGATGCAAAGGGGGATACGAGTACATCCTTGTCATTGTGGACCATTTCACCCGTTTTGTGCAAGCGTATGCCACCACATCAAAGTCAGGAAAAACTGCTGCAAACTTCATCTTCAATGACTTTGCTCTAAAAAAAAAAACCAAGTTCTTGAATTTCCTTCTCCGCATTCAGGCCCACATGACGCCAAGGGAGAAGAGTTTGAAAATCAGTTGTTCATCCTCAAAACTTTAAAAAACAATCAGTGGCATGGCTGGGTCCCAGAACAAAGCACCGTATCACCCGATGGGAAATGGTCAAGCTGACGTATGAACAGAACATTGTTGCAAATGCTCAAAACACTGACTGAAACACAGAAATCTAACTGGAAAGAGTCTCTGAACAAACTTGTGTATGCCTATAACTGTACCCGTTGTGAAGTGACAGGTTACTCACCCTTCTATCTTCTGTTCGGGAGATCACCTAGGCTTCCTGTTGATATGCTGTTTGGACTGTACACAGAGTCAAGTTCCAGTCAGCCAGACTATGTGGAGAGATGGAAACGGGGTATGGAGGAAGCATACGCCATTGCAAATGAGAATGCTCAGAAATCTGCTGAAAGGAGTAAAAGGTATTATGATACTAAAGTAAGGAGTTCAGTGCTACAGCGAGGTGAGCGGGTCCTGATCAAAAACCTGACACCAAGGGGAGGACCAGGTAAACTCCGCGACTACTGGGAAAATACAGTCCACACAGTAGTGAGACAAATGGGATCTGATCTGCCGATTTATGAAGTGACACCAGAAAAGGGTAATGGACGTTCCAGGGTCCTGCATAGAAACCTGCTCATGTCCTGTGACCATTTACCTTTTGAGACACAACCAGAAGTAACCAAAAGTGACAAAGGTAAACAGAAAAGAAGGCATGAGTCTGTG